ACGTGCTCAAAACTAGGCTTTATTATTCAAATTATAATTTTTATTATTCTTAATATTCAAATTTAGACAGGAAATATGTATTTTATTTCTATAATTTTTATAAAGTTACTATAATATTATATACATACATACATACATACATACATACATACATACATACATACATACATACATACATACATACATACATACATACATACATACATACATACATACATACATATACACACAAACATATATATATATATATATATATACATACATTTATTTAATCAATATCAAATTCTTATAAAACATTACAAACTATTTGAAGAAGCAATTAGGGATCTTATGAAATAAATTTGAAATTTAAGGGATTTTAGATATTTTATGAATTTTTATAATTAAGATTTAGCCAATTTTGAATTTTCAAAGTCATTTTTATATTTTGGGTTAAATATTTTTAAAATCTCTTGGAATTATTTCTAGAAGTTATTATTAGCCTCAAATATAGTTTGTGAAACTTTATTGATCTCTTGGATTTTAATTACTTTTTATAATTATTTAAATTTTAAATCTATTTTTTAAGTAGAAATTTATAGTAAGTTCAAATAATCTCTAAATGTTATGAAATTTTACATGAATGTTGAAAATTGGATTCTAAACAAGTCTTAAAATTGTTTTTTAGGATATTCTAGGTTCAAATAAATTATGAACATATTAGGATACCCTAAACCCCAAACCCTAAATCCCAAACCCTAAACCCAAACCCTAAAGTTTATAATTTGAGTTAGGAGTAAACATGAAAAGATTAAACTTAGGCATACGCTTACTTATTGATTATAACTCTTGTATTCAGACTCTCACTCATTGCGTAAAAATGATTGATTTATCCTATCTGAATTAATGCTTATAGAGTGAGTCTCTTTTTGAATACTAGCTTGGCCTATAAAATTGATGTTATATAAATACGTCATCGAGGACTGCTTACACATATACAACTTCTTTATCACTCAATACTAAACTAAATAAAATATGAGTGTGATGAGAATAAAAAATCTATAAATTTGAAATTGTAAAAAATATTTTACATTAGTCTTAAGATAATAACATACCAATCATACATTAGCCTTTTGATTTTATAATCAAATTATGAGACCTACTTTTTCTTAATAAGCAACAATATATCATATCTTGCTTTTCATTAAACCAATCATGTAGTTGACATCTTTATCTAGAAGGGATTATAATTTTAGTCAAGTTGGGCTTGCCCAGTCCTTTGTGGGATCATGTTATAAGTCTCTGTTTGTTACATTTTATCGTTAGATTAGGTTTTAAGGTTTTACTATTTTAGTAAAACTTACCTTTATAAGATTTTAAGATTGTTCGTCTTGGTACAACATAAGTTCTCAAGTCTTAGGTTTTCTATGATTTCATATTACTTTATATAAGTCTAAAATTTCTAATAAAATGTTAACACAAATATTAAATCTTTTTAATTTTCAAATCAATAAACCCAAAAAAATTAATAGTTGAAGAGTCGCCGAGTCTGTCAGCATTTAGACACTTCATATCTTTTCTCTTTTAGGTTTCAAAAAGAATCGTTCTTGTTTGATCTTTTTTGTTTGAAATTCTAAATAAACAATCATGAAAACTAAACTTTAAAATTCATGAAGACATAACATTAGCCTTAATCGAGAGTTTTCTTAAGATATTTTTTCTTTTAAGATGTATTTAACTATAGGTTTTGCTCTTCCAGGAAGTTAGTAATCCAGTTTAATCTAAACTCTATCTAGCCTTCTAATTAAGTAGGGGAAAGATTTGTTATCTTAAAAAAACAAACCAATCTCATTTTAAATATTTTTTTTTGGATAATCAAATCCATTATAAAGCAGTATTTTAATCTTCTAAGATGGTATATTACTTTTGATGTCGTAGTTGGTTCATCAAATTAATTAAAATAATTGGAATTTATGTGGGCATAAAATTAAACTAACAAAGTTTAGCAAGCTATTATTTCTAAAAATAATTATATGTTTAATAGTGTCAAATGTATTTTCATTGTTAGGTAAAATTAAATCCCATAAGTCTTTGACATGCTATTAGAATTAGGATTGAAAGCCTAATTTGACAATATCTCTCACTTTAGTTTATGAAATAAGATAGATAATTTCTTTTATACTACATTATGTACTCACTTTATGGGCTCTTCCTCTAGCTTATTTCACGAAAACGTAAGTTCTAAATTTATAATAAAATAATTACTCAAATAAAATAAATAATAACTTTCAAAATGTAAAGCTCAATATTAGATAGTGCAATGTGTTAATGAGCTTCTTAGTGTCCAGCATTGCATACTTTTTTTCCTTTATAATCTAGAAAGAACTACTTCGATTTGATCTACACCAATCAACTTCCAAAATAAAAATCTTAAATATAAATTTTAAAATCCATAGAGACATGTGTCAATACTTTAATTGGAAATAGTTTTAGAAAATCATCTCTCCTATGATGTAATTAACTTTAATAGATTATCTTTATAGTGATTTTGTACACTATAATATAATAAATCATATCATGTTTGATAAAGATAGAGGATAAATCTCTAGTTCACAAAGATATTTTAAAATTTTAATTTAGTAAACAATCATTAAATAATATTTTCTCTTGAGATAGTATATAACTCCTAACAATATATTTGATCAATAAAATATATGAATTTTATGTAACATTAAATTTTCTCATATACTAGTAAAAGAAATGGGAGTGACATAAGACAAAACTTAGCTAAAGTGTTTTAAGAACTTAAGCAAATCTCAGGAAAAAGGAATTCTAAATCTAAGAGAAAATGCTCATGATAAAAATAACTGGCAATTCCTAGGTAGATAAGAGAATTCACCTACTTATGCTATTGTAAAGTTGAAGTTGATTTCTTAATTTCTCTCCATATTGACTTGAAGTAGTACTTAATTACTAAATACTAAAATAGTGAAGTTTTACCTTTAATAGAAAACAAAAATAAAAGATAAAAGTTAACTGTCGAAAACCAACTTATAGAAGAAATCACAAAGTTCAAGCCTCACTTAGTCAATTAAAATATTCAAATAATAAAAGTGCAAATAAATATATATAGATAAAAAAAGCAATTTAAGAGGTTTTATCAAAAAAATTATAAATTAAAAAAAATTAATGAATGTTATGATACACACATGCACATAATAGTTCTCTAATACAATTTATTTTAGTTTTTTTTTACTACATAAATTTAATGTAAAAGATGAGAACAAGTTGATGATACTAGTAATGTCCTCCCTCCTAATAAATCTTTCACATCAAGATAGAAAATAACATCTCTAAAGACTAAATCCTAATTATTAAAATAGTACAATAAGAACTTTGCACCACTAGCAAATTGAATCATCAAGATTTATCTTTAAAATCTTGACACAAATTTGAGGCAATTTAATCTGAAAATGGTTCGAGGAGAAAGTACAATTTAAAAAGTTTAAAATAAGAATTCCAAAGGAAGAAGCTTACAATGTGATCATGGATTTGTTTTTGACATGACAGTAACATATTTGGATGGGTGGTTAAATATCAAATTCAAAGTAATTAATTGAATTTAGAATGCCACCACATTGGAACAAACATTTTATTCTTGCATTTTATTTTGCAAATATTTTTTTAATATGCAAGATAGTAAGGACACTAAATAACACTTAGTTATCACATAAACTCAGTTCAAATTATTTTAGTTTGACTCAAATAATTGAGTTTAAGGTTTCTAATTAACTTAATGAAGCAAAGTAATTTAATTCACCTAGCCTATACTTTGAAATTGCCTAGCCCATGTTGAAGTCACCAAGGTCATATTGAAGTAACCTAAATCATAAAGCACTCATTAATATCTTGATAAACATACTTAAAATTATGGTGACTTGCCCAAGTCACAGTAAATTCACATCACATGGACAAGATAATAAGCACAAATGTCAAAGATACTTGCCAGTACTTTGGGGACTAAAAAATTTTGAACAAACAACTTTAGATGCGTGAATTTTTATGCATCTAATCATAATCAGACAAACTATATTTTTGTACGTAAGTTTAGAGTAGATGCCCCAAATATTTTATAACAAATGTCTGGTAATTCTTGTCTTACATTTTTATTCATGTACTCCATAAATATTTTTTTCTTGCAGTGTTAGTCAACAAGAGCTTGAAATGTCAAATTGCTTGCATTCAAAGTCTTATTTTGTCTTCAATTCAATAAAATCTTTTAGTTTCTTACTCTTCATTTTTTCCCTTTGCAATCATTTCATTCTTACTTGAATTAAGCAATCGAAAGTGAGCTATTTACAAATCAAGCTCTCTTTTTTATCCACTTCTCAAATTCACTCAAAAATCAATATTCATGATAAAAACCCACCCACATATTTTATTTTTATCAAATTCTCAATAGTCTGATCGTGCCAAATGTGAATGTATTGCTTCGCTACTTCAAAAAATCACGTAATTGCTTGATTTGTAAGTAGAATGTTTCGAGATTTTTGTATGTAAATATCCCTTATTAGTAAGATTTTGTTATCATTCACAAACAAATCTATATCCAACATAAACATTTAAAGATAAGAGAATTTGTAAAAAAAAAGGAAAATACAGAAAAGTTTGAGCAATGGACTGGCGAAGTTTATGAAAAGGTGTTTTTGATAGAGGATTTGGGAGAGAAACATGGGCTACAACTGCTAATCCAGAAAATTACCCTGCGATAAGATGGCTCAGCCTACCAACAAGCACCCATATACCCACACTGAAGCCTTGCCGATGCGAGCAACAATTTTACTTCCACTCTCAAATTTTTTTCAAAATAATTGTGAGATTCCTTCTGAAATTCATCATTAATTGAAAAATTGAATTTATCATAATGTCATATTTATTTTATTTATATTCCTATTCTAATGACATCTTATTCAGCCAGCCAAGTGCGCGTACTTTACATAAACCTAGAGTCGAAACGAGCTTCAAGTTACAATCAGCTGCGGGAACCCCATCGTTCGCTGCGAATCGAACAGCGATAAAGGCGGCAAGTCAAACACCTCTGCTTCATCCCACACCACCGGCCATATCGCTGGAATCCTGTCGCACACCGCCGGAGTTTTCCATTCCGATTGTTCTAAACCCTCCTTCTTCATAACCTTCGCCGCCTTCCCACACTCCCTACCCGTCTTCTTCGGGGGCTTCGCCGAAGTATTCCGATCAGATTTATCCATCAATTGGCCAATCTCGTTGGGGAAGTTGAGGATAGCCTTGCTTCCGCGCATCCGGAAAGCAGCGCAATCGTAAGCCCTTGCTGCCTGAACGGCGGTATCGAACGTGCCGAGCCAAATCTGAGATCCTCGCCGCTTAGGGTTACGGATTTCGGCCGCGAATTTTCCCCACGGCCGCTTCCAGACTCCGCGGTAATGCCGGTCGACAATTAACTCCGACGATGGGATCTCCCTTTTTCACCCAATCAATATTTAGGTCTAGATCGAAGCAATCCCCGCCGAATCGTATCATTGATTGCAGTTGTTCACGGAATCTGAAATCTCCGTCGAAACGTGTGTCGGGTTTAGTTTGTACTTCGAGGTAGTCGGAGACGGTAATGTCGCCGGGAGCGGGGAGAGTTAATGGCGGCAGCGTGGGTAGGATGTCGAGTGAGGCGGCTGCCTGGTCGAGGAATTGTTCGCCGATGAATTCGAAATCAGAGAAGAAGGCTTCGGTTGCCATGGAAGTTGGGAGTGATCGAGTGATGTCAGAAGATTGAGTGGAGATGTTAACTCGGGTCTTTATATAGACCATACTTTTAAAACCGGTAACTTATTAATTAGTTTTAATTAGATATTCATTATAGAAAAAAAAATTTTATTTTGAAATCAATAGCGATTTACATACATAGGAATCGAAATTATGTATATTAGATATCTCACATCCAAATTGTAATATTTTGAACCATCTAAAACCCCGTTAAAATCTCGTCGAACATAGCCTTTGTTTCCCGAGTCCCTGCTGATTCCATCGAGCACGTTAAGATCACATAAATGTTCCAAATAGTAGTCGACATTCCGCCTTGCTCTTTCTCTTACCCAAAAATGTAACTCATTGTTCTCCCACTTCTTCCCATCCTCCAATTCCACATTGGCACATCATGCCAAACAAAAAAAATGGCAACTTTAAATACTTGAGAAGCCAAAAATGACATTTCTATGTCCTACATGTTCTTAAATCAACAAAAATGACATCTCTATATCCTTCACGTTCTTAAATAAAGTATTTTCTTTGCTTAAGGTAAAACAGAGGAAATTCAACATGCAATCACACTACTAAAAATAAGTTGTAAAGGAAGGATAATATATACACGCACATAAATAACAAGTATAAATTTTATGCAAAAAAAAAAAAAAAAATTGTATTATACATAGTAAGTGAAATTAATAATGTATTAAATATAAATATTACTTATATAATAATAAGTTAAATATATATGAAAATGAAGCGATAAACTATAAATATTTTAATAAATTATTTATTCAAATATATAGTAATTTTTTTATCTTACTAAATGCACCAGACATTTAAGAGTCCATATTCTTTGTTTGATTGCATGTTATGTGCAAAACAACGCAAAACTAGGATTCATAATAATTTTTCCTGATATCATTAATTCATTAAGTAAATGAAATTCACAAACTAAATACTGTATAAAATAGCAAGGTTAATAATTCAAGAAAATAAACAATTAGATAAAAATAGTAACCACTGAAACGTGCAAACAGAAAATAAGAGAGTATTCGATACCAAACAAAACTTTCATTGTAACAAATAAAATTACTGTCTTGTATCAATGTAATTACAAAATTGTCAATTTTATTTATAAAATCTCTAAAAAATAACTTGTAAATCGAAAACATGCTTGCACGAATCACAATGTCACTTTATGAACAATGAAGGAAGCAGAGCGGACTCACATGACCCACCGTAGACTATCCGAGACTGTATATTCGGCCAGCTGGTTTCCTTTATCATAAAGGTGGGGATTCTCCGCGGATAGAGAAGAATTCCTCCCGAGGAACCTAGCTCATGCAGATAGATCCACCCCCTCCCGACTCACATCAACTCGAAAAAGGGGAACAAGTCTTTCAAAACCAGGACGACTGGCCTGGGCTCTCGGCAAAAAACCCCTTGGTCATGCAATTGACCGGACCTACAGACGCCCAGTTTGAAAGGATGCCAACTGAATCCACGGGCGGACCCCTGCAAACCTAATTTATAAACAGATTAAGGTATCCTGTTGTACATTGGCACTTTTGAGGTATATGATGTAAATATGGACCGACGAACCTCTATAAATGGGGAGTCCATCTCATGAATAATGTGGCGGTTAACATAATTTTACTGTTAAATTTTGTGCTCTCTCTCTCTCTCTCTCACTCTCTTCCCAAATTTCAAGCACTATATTCCTTAGACGTGCCTCAGACAAATTTGGATTCAATATCTTAAAGATTAGGTGAGCATGGAGTCATGCAGTCGACAAGAAGAGGAGCACACAGATCCTAGAGAGAAGAGAGTGGCCAAAGAATAGTAGCTAACATAGAACCCTCAAGGGACAAAATCGAGGAACACATGCACAGAGGAATGCGGAAGATAAGGACCCAAATCATGGAGCAGGCAACAAGTCAGATCACCGAGGTCTTGAGAGCTATCATAGCCCTAGCGAGAGACTAAATTTCACAAGAATAGGATCGACTTTAGGAGGCACTGCCAGTACTCAATGGTGGGAAGACAAACCCTAGCCCGAAGGGAGCTGACGACTCCCAATACCAAGATAGTGTGGGATCTGCAGAGGTAGAGACGCAGCATGTAGGATGAATCAAACCCCCGCGACAGCCAAATAAAACTTTCTCCCTCCAAAAATATTGGGCAAAACCTCCGCAAAATTCAAGTTGCTAGCTTTGGAAGCCTATAGAGGGCGGTCAGACCCAAACTACTATATCACTACATTCGAGTTGGTTGTGTGCTTAACCAAAATTTCATATGTGTTTAAGTGTCGTCTGTTCTTTACCACCTTGAGGTATTCACCCTTGAAGTGGTTCCATAGACTTCCAACTGGAAGTATTAGCAGCTTTACTAATTTTAAGTGGCAATTCTTGGCACATTTCACCAACGCCCTGAGACCCAACAAGAGCGTTTAGTCCTTATGGCAGCTTAAGCAACGAGTGCAATAGAGTCTTCCAAAGAGAGATGTTGGAGGTAAAATAGCTCAAATTTGACATAGTCGTGGCCACCTTAAAGCAAGCTCTGCAGTCCAAGAGATTCTCCTACGACCTTAGTATCAACGAACCCTAGGACTGGGCGGAGCTGTTGGAGAGAGCCAACAAGCATAAGCTGGGGGACGAAAGCACCCTCAAGAGGGAACCAAAAGGCCGCCCCACCTAGAAGGGAGCCCTTCTGAGGGGCAAACCAAAAAGAAGAGAGGAACACATAACACCCATTTGACTTCATTTCAAAGAAGAACAACTCTGACATAATAACAGATGAATAAAATAGTACCAGCAACATAGTGGATCGATGAGAAACCAAGACCCTCAGATAACCTGATCTCGAAAGTCCGATGCAACACTATCACTAGCTATATGGAGATTATGAGGGCCTATAAGCTACTCCTCTAAGAATGTTAATGACGAAAATATTGGATGACATCCAAGATAAAGAATAATTTAAGGATTCAACACTGATGAGAATCGAAGGTTTCCTCTGAGATGCAAGAAAATATTGAAAGCACCATCAAGATCACGACCATGACATGAAGAAATGCAAGCACCTGCATATCCTTTTTGAGGAGTTAATCATTGTTGGAAAGTTGAAAGAGTTCATGGCCACAAAGCATTCGAGCCAAAGACAATTGTAAGTGCCAGCGATGGAGACTCCACCTAGGTCCGCTGAACATACATGTCGCGAGAATAATCCCACGATTATTTTTCTCCATGTTACAGGAAGAACATCCATTCATGGAGCAAAGATTGTTTGGCTATGCTTTACTTAAAGAACAGCCAGCCGCGATGCCAAAATTGTCTAACTGAGCACTAAATGAAGATAGACAATTGTGACACCATGATCGTCTGGCTGAGCATCAAATGAAGATAGCAGTTGTGGTGCTAAGATTGGCTGGCTAAATATTACTTGAAGAACAAACAACCATGACATCATGATCGACTGACTAAGCATTACTTAAAGAACAGCTAGTTGCGGTGCCAAGATTGCTTACTGAGTATCAAATAAAGACAACCAATCATGATGCCAAGATCGTCGAACTGAGCATTACTTGATGAACAATCAGTCGTGGCCCCAAGATCTTCCGATTGAGCATTACTTGAAGATCAACCAGCTGAATCACCAAGAATGCACAACTGAGCATTAAATGAAGACATTAATCTGTTGCGTCAAAATTTCTTGGCTGAGCACCAAATGAAGACAACCTGTCGTAATTCCAAGATTGCCTGACTAACCTTCAAATGAAGACAATCAGCCACACTACCAAGATCGCTTAGCTGAACATCAAATGTAGATCGTCAGTCGTGTTGCCTAGAGCACCATCATGAGCATTACTTGAAAAACAGTCAACCACAGTGCTAAGATAGCCCAACTGAGCATTAATTGAAGACCTTCGGCTATAGCGTAAAGATCATCCAGTTGGACATTAAATGAAAGCAGTCAATTGTGACACCAAATCACCCCGAGGAGCCAAAAAATCCAAAAGATCAGGTATTACACAAATTCAGTCGGGCTATAAAAAAAAGATGGAGGGGAGGGTATGAACTAAAAGAAGTGAAGCACTACTGAGTCATCTCAATACAAAGGAAACATATGACTTTCATCATTACAAAATCATTACATCTATAAGGTATTGCCTATCGAACTATATACAAAAGGTTACTGTAAGTGAAAAAAAAAAGTAGATCAGGGCTTAAACTTTGGGAGTCTGGTTATATGAACCCTACTAACTGTTAGCTCCTGAATCGTCCCCAGATGACCCCTCAGAGCTCGAGTACAGGGTGACAAGCTCTTGAGGTCTGAATATTTGGGATCGACTAGGCCCTATCAAATGAAGTGATGAATCACTGTCAAACTCCCAATACAGAGTTATTCATAAAAAAGTTTCATAACCTATGTGGGCAAGGGAGAAGAAAGAATAACTCATCCTAAAACCACATAGTCACCATTTGTTCCTTCAATCAATGATTTTCTTTGATGAGAAGCAAAAACAATCACAAAACTGAGGAAAGTTCTTCCGACACCACGACAAGATTTTTCTCAGCCATCTTTGCCAGCCTCTTAGGCACTTCATCCAACTCAGCTGAGGCCTTAGCCTACTCCACATCATTAGCCCACTTAGTTTTGATACAATCCAAAGCCGCTGATTTGAGGTGAGAAGCCTCTCAAGCCTTCAAATGGCACCGGTCAATCCTCTTAAAAAGCCTAAGGTACTTCAACCCTCAAAATAACTTCACAATGTGATGACCAAATGTACCCTAAAAGTGTGGAGGGAGATGTTCTGGTGGATGGAACATTACAATACCATTATATCGATCGATTGATATTGGTGAACAGACCTTCGGGTGATATTGAACGGACCCTCAGTTGGCACCTTCCTCGGATGGCTCTTCAACTTCTTGCCTGTCATGGTTGGTTGCATCCAAAGAATATGCATTGTAACTAGCAGGAACCGTACA